GGGGGGGGGGGGGGGGGGGGGGGGGGGGGGGGGGTGCCTTCTTCTTTATTTTAGTAGCGAGCCAAGTCAAACTGGCTAGGAACTTAATGTTTAAAGAGAGCCCGTGTGAAATAAGTAGAACCGTGCTCACAAGGTCCAGGTATATAAATAGCTGGTCTTTCTTCAAGTGTGTGCTTGTCTCTGCGGCTACACCTCAAGGGTCAGCAGCCTCTTCGTTGGAGGCTCCAGAAATACACTGGGCTCTTCAAGTAGAGCAGACCTTTGCTGGAGGTGTCGCTTCCCTCCTGTGTTCGCTGTGGACACCTCCTGCCAAAAGTGGGTTAGCTTCCCATGCTGTTTGCCCTGGTCACGGTTTTTAAAAAATCATCTGGAACCCTGTATAGAAGGCGTTATCTGTCCAAGATAGACAGCTGAGTGAGATTGTTCATCTGTCAAAAGGTGAGATTCAAAACTGTCAACAGGCTAGACGGCTGGGATGAAAGCATTAAGATAGAATCTGACCGATATAAATCTAGGTTTAACAAGACCCTCTGCAGGAGTGTGGTGGGGGGGAGACTGACTTGATAGCACTTCAGAGGGAAAGACCCTGTTATTTTAGTTGACAGCAAGAAGGAATTTTTATGTGGAGGGTACAGGCCCATCATTTCTTTAAGTAGATGAAGGCTGTTGATTTTTGTGTGTTGATTTTCTGTCCTGCCACCTTACTGATTTCTCTTATTTGAGTTAGTTTCTCATTAATTCCTTAGGGTTTCCAGGTGCTATCATATCAACTGCAACCAGAGATGACTGTCCTTCATTTTCAGTTCTTATGCCGTCCTTCTTTTCTCTTACCTGATTGCGTGGGCTGACACCTCCAGTCAGTGTTACCTGGTGGAGATAGTGGGCATCCTTGCTGTGTTCCTGATCTTAATGAGAACGCCTCTTGTGTTTCCCCACCAAGGAAGGTGCTGGCGTTAGGACTGACTGAAGTATACAAATAATGGCATGTTAAGAAAGCGTCCATTGATTGCTGTTTTCTTGAGTGTTTTTTATCAGGAATGGACAAAGACTGTCCGTAAGTAAACAATAGCATTAGAGTCCATACCCAGTGACCAGAACACCAACTGCTAGTTAATAAAATAATATATTTCCAAAATATTATGAGCTCAACATCATGAAAATCAGATTTCAAAAAAAGCACTTAACCTTGTGGACGTATGCAGACACTGGTCATAAAGACTCTGAAGAAACGAGGCGCTGGTTCAGTAGACTGACCACTGTCGCACGCACACACGGTTTTTCTAATTTGGGAGAGCTTGTTGGTCCCACGTCAGCTGGCGTGGCTGCGGGAGTGAGCAGGGCGTTGGCCCACTCCCAACAGCAGCGTCGTGGGCTCCCACCGTGGATGCTTCTAGATGAACTGTTCCAGGGCACCGCACACTGACGTGGCAAGTCCCTCAGTCATCTGTTTGAGTTCCTTTCCTTCTTTGAGTGGGCCCATAAGTTGCTTGGGTAATATGTATTTTTTCTGGAAAGTATGAATTTCTTGGAACGATGCGAGTCCCTGGAAGCCTGTCCCTGTGCCCTGTGGGCGTGAGATGCTGGCAGGGGGCTGCTGTGATTGCAGTGTTGATGGCGGTCTGCATCGTGGGCGGCACGTTGGTATCGCTCATCTCCTATTAGAGGACGAGTTCGGCCCGTCTTAATCTCGTTTTTAATCACAGGATTCTGGAAAGTATAAACGTCTCCTCCCGTGCTTTGAAACAGTCGTGGCACTTCAGGGTGCTGAATATTGGCTTCTTGGCCCGTCTTTTCAGCAGGGGGACATGGGATGCCCCTGAGCGGGGAGATGCTTTTGTGCATCTGCCTAATCTTATGCTTAATTCCATTCTAGTTAGAGGCAGGAGACAGACCCTAGAAAGGGAGCTTCTTTTAGAGATTTATTTGCCGGGTTGCCCGAGACCTGTGAGGTCCCTAGCGGTGGAGGCATGCGAATCAGATCTGAGACCTAGGGGATGATCGGCAGCAGATCAGTTCCTGGAAAATAATTCATTCCTTGGCAATGGACTCCTTTCAGTGGCCCAGAAGGCCCGACACTGTCCCCTCTTAGGCACACATGCGCAGGCATGTGTACGAACGTGTAGCAAGCCACTTTCCCCTCTGCTCGCTACCGAGGCCACACTCGCTTTGTCCTGCTTCCTTAAACCTAACACGCTTTTTTTTCTACATCAGGGTCGTTGCACATGCTGTTCCCTGTGCCTGGAAGGCCCCCCCCACTTTCTGAGATGACCACTGCTCTGGAATCATTCGGGTCGGGCTCAGAGATCACTTCCCCAGAGAGGCCCCTTCTCACCACCTCATCCAAAAGACCCTGCCCGTCATTCTGTCCGTTACCCTGATGTATTTTCACCGTAGCACCGACCCCTGTCTAAAATTGCCTTGTGTATTTATTGTATTACATGCTGGAAGTCTCTCTCTCCCTAGAAAGGAGGCTTCAAATAAGGACCCTCTGTTGTTCTCTCCACCGTGCCCCCAGTGGGGATAATGCCAGGCTGGTGTAAATGCCCAGTGAATATGTGTTGAATAGATGGATGTATTAACGGAATATGCTCTGCATAATGTCATACGTGGGTTCCAAAGACTTAAGTTCGCATTTACGTTAAGAGAGACACTTATATTGCTTTAAAATGAGACGAGTCAAGGTTAGAGTTAGAAACAATTTTGTGTTACTGTGAAGCAGTTTTTCTTTTCCTGTAGCTTTGACCTGAAAGTGTTACGTGCCTGGTGTCATCAGAGGCTGAGCGGATTTTCAGCTCTTAATGCTGTTTCTTTTCCGTTAGTATGTTTTGGTCATATTTTCTGTTCTCGAAGGCTACTATTAGTAGGCATTAGTAGCTTTTTAGCTCTTGTGGTGAATTGTGTGAATTTAAAAACAAGTCTTATAAAGAAGACGTAAATAACATAAATAAGTTTAAGGACATACTATGTTGATGGATTGCAAGATTCAACATCGTAAAGATGTCGGATCTCCTCAAATTGATCTATAAATTTAAAACAGTGGTTTTTTTTTAAAGATTTTATTTTTTTCCTTTTTCTCCCCAAAGCCCCCCAGTACATAGTTGTATATTCTTCGTTGTGGGTCCTTCTAGTTGTGGTATGTGGGATGCCACCTCAGCGTGGCTTGATGAGCAGTGCCATGTCCGCGCCCAGGATTCAAACCAATGAAAGACTGGGCCGCCTGCAGCAGAGCACGCAAACTTGGCCATGGGGCCAGCCCCAAATTTAAAACAGTTTTGATCAAAACCTCAGCAAGATTTTCTTATAGACAAGGTGATTGTAAAATGTATATGGGAAGGCAAAGGAACTGGAATAGCCAAAACAGTTTTGCAAAAGAATAAAGTTAGAGGCATCACACTACTCGATTTTAATACTCACTATAAAGCTACAGTAACCAAGAGCATGGAATTGGTGGAGGGACAGACACGTAGATCAATGGAAGAGAATAGAGTCCAGAAATAGACCCACGCGAGTATGATCAGTTCATTTGTGACAAGGGTGCAGAAGAAATTCAATGTAGAAAGGATAGTCTTCTCAACGAGTGGTGTTGGAACAATTGGGTATCCATGTGCAAAAAAAAAAAATTTTACCTAAACCTACTTTATACATAAATTAACTCAAAATGGATCACAGACCTAAATGTAAAATGTAAAACTATCAGAAGCAAACGTAGGAGAAGATCTCTGTGACCTGAACAGAGTTCTTAGACGTGACACCAAAAGCATGAACCCTGAAAGGAAGAAAATGGTACAATGGATTTTGTCAAAACTAAAAACTTTTGCTATGCAAAAGGCACTATTAAGCAAATGAAATGACAAGCTACAGACTGGGGAAAAAATTTGCAAATCACATATCCAACAAAGGACTTCTTCTCCTAAGTATATAAAAAACTCAGCAGTTGGCAAATAAGCCAACTCGGATGGCACATAAGCACGTGAAGAGATGTTCACCGTCACTGCTACCATTAGGGAAATGAGAACTAAAGCCTGGATGAGGTACCCCCGGTGACACACCTCTTAGAACGTCTAAATTAAAAAACAAAGAATACCCTGTAGCGGGAGGATGTGGAGCAGCCGGAACTCTTGTGCGTTACCGATGGGCGTGCAGACGGTGCTCCGCTCTGGAAGGGTTTGGCAGGCTCTTGTGAAGTTGAACGGCAGTCTCCTGGGTACTTGCCCTAGAGAATGAGACGGTACGTTCACACAGACACCTGCCCGTGAATGCTTATAGCAGCTCTCTCTATAACTGCCAAGAACTAAGACCAGCCCGTTTGTCCTTCACTGGGTGAGAGGATAAACTGCTCCATCCGTGGGATGGAATGCTGCTCTGCAGTGAAAGGGGACACCCTGTGATGCACGCAACAACCCGGCTGAATCTCGGAGGCAGAGAGTCATCATCATTAATTCGGGTTAACAGTGCTGAGTGAACGAACACAGTCTCAAAAGCTTATGTACTTGAAGACCAGGAGAATGGTGGTGGCTGCCAAGGGCTGGGGGGAGCGTGGGGAGTTGTTTAGCGGGTGTTGAGTTTCAGTTTCACGAGATGAAAACAGTTACGGGGATGGCTAATGGTGACAATTCACAGCAGCGTGAATGTATTTAATACCACTGGACTGTACACTTAAAAATGATTAATTATGGTAGTAAATTTTCTGTTATGTGTGTTTTACCACAGTAAAAACGTTATATGACATTCTTGAAAGGACAACATGGCGTGAGCATAGGTCTGTGTGCCAGGGGTTAGGGGAGGCTGTGGCTGCGGCCGGGCAGCCCGAGAGCGGGTTTGGGCTCCTGGGGCTGTTTTGCTTCTTGGCTGTGACGTGGTTACATAAGTCCCTATGGGAGTTAAAATTCGGTGACCTGCACACCAAAAAACGGCAGTTTTACTATATGTTAATTTAAAAATAAAAAGAAACTCCCACCCCGTGTAGAAGTGCAAAGCTCAGAATAAAGTGCTAGGATAAAGGCAGCATAAAAGCAATTGCCATGAAAAAAAGCCGTAGAGGTGCTCTCTGTCGGTATGTAAATAAACAGAAGAGGAAATTGGCCACAACAGCTAACCACAGGCTTTTTACATATCTGATTGCAAAAGCCCTTAGAAGTGGTTTTCACATCCTTTTCTGAGGACTGTTACTGCCAACGTGCAAGAAGTGCACACTGTTTGTGCTTGTTTAGTGTTTCAGTAAAGCTTTCAATCCAGACGTTAATTATTCTCCTTGAAATTGAACTGTGATTCTCCCAATTACATGTGGTCCTGGGAAGGCGGGGGGCGGGGTGGGGCGCGGCGGGGAGGCGGGGGGCTTCAGTGAGAGGCAGGGGGTAGCCCCTGGGCCTTGCGTCAGAGTCATTTCTGGGGCTTTAAAAAATGCAGGTGCTCAGAGTGCACCCTGAGGAGATTCAGGAAATTCGGAATCTGTCTTTGGACTGGGGCCTGGATGTGTGTGTGTGCGCGTGCATGTGTGTGTGCGTGCGTGTGTGTGTGTGTGTGTGTGTGTGTGTGTCTCTCCTTGGTGATTTTACCGAACAGCCTGGTTTGAGATCTGTGGGGTGGAATGTGGGAGTCAGCCAGGCAGGAGCAGTGAGGAAGCCAGGTGTAGCAGGAGTACCAGAGGGCTGTCAGGCAAGCCTGCGGAGGGTCTTCCTGAAGGAGGACTTCCCGGAGGTGGTGATTCCTGAGCCGGAGTCCCGAAGGACAGGAGAATTGCTAGACAGGGACAAGGAGGGTGTTCCACTGCGGGGGGGGGGGGGGGGGCGGGGGCGGGGCGCTGCAAGCATGTGGTACTGGTGAAGGGTGTGGTGGGGGCCAATGGGAGAGGACACCAGGGTAGACTGGAGACCAGGGGGTGGAGGCCCCAGTGCCAGGGAGAGTGACTGAGGCTCGCTTGTCAGTCAGTTGGCCAAGGCGCCGTCTTGGGCCACCTGGATCGGAGTGCACCTGAGTCTGCACCTGCAGAGTGCGTGCCCTGAGCGGCACCTGGATGAGACATTCTGAGGGGGAGCCTGGAAATCTGCGGTTTTAGCCAGTGCCTGAGGGATTGGAGTCAGAGCCACTGCAGTGAGGGGGGGGGGGGCCCAGTTTTCTCCGAAGAGTTTTCTTCATTTGTGTGTGTCCCCCTCTCATGTTTCGTAACATAGTCACTCCTGGGGACCTGCTGAGCCTTGCGGTGGGGAATTCTGATCTTCAGGTTGCTAGGGAACAGGTTTATAGACTGGCCATCCAGGCATGCAAACCCTTCTGCAGGTGTCTGTTGATTACAAGTGTCATCGTTTTCCAGAAAGAAGGGGAGCCCTCGGTATGGGGCTCTGGGCCTGCTGGGTTTTTGTTGAGGAAGAAAAAGAAGGTGAGGTGGGGTTTGCCTTGGGGGAGAGAGTGACGCTTCTTGGTCTCCTGGTGTCTCCCCAGGAGCAGCAGCCGAGCTGGACAGACGACCTGCCCCTCTGCCACCTCTCTGGGGTTGGCTCAGCCTCCAACCGCACCTACTCTGCTGACGGCAAGGGCACCGAGAGCCACCCCCCGGAGGACAGCTGGCTCAAGTTCAGGTGAGAGTGCCCACGGTGCTCTCTGGGCATCGGAAGTCGCTTCACAGGCAAGAAAAGGCAGCGGATTTGCACCAGTCTCCCATGGGGTTTGCCAGTGAGATGTGGCCCGTGGGAGGTGGTCTGCTGGTGTCCCTTCCACGTCTAGACCTCAGGGCAGCTCAGGGCCTGTTACACTGGGGGCAGCGGGCATCCCAGAGGTCATGGCCAGAGTGAAGTGATGGTCAGAGTGGGGGGACCCAGGTGGGCACCTGAAGCCACAGCTGCTGTCCTCCCGGTCCCTCCTCGTGCCCCGGGCCCTGGCGTCTCTCCTGGGAGCCGGTCTCAGACCGCCTCCTGCCCTCCCTCTGTAGGAGTGAGAACAACTGCTTCCTGTACGGGGTCTTCAATGGCTACGATGGCACCCGGGTGACCAACTTCGTGGCCCAGCGGCTGTCCGCGGAGCTTCTGCTGGGCCAGCTCAACGCCGAGCACACCGAGGCCGACGTGCGACGCGTTCTGGTGCAGGTACTGGGGCTCCGGCCGCGGACCGCGCCCTGGGAGCATCGTGTCACCCGGGAACTCGGCCCTGCGCTGTGAAGCGCGGGCTTAGCCAGAGCTGGTCTGAGGACCCTGCCAGCTTCTCTCTGCAGAGGAGCTGACTCTGGGAGCCTCTCCCAGCGGCAGGGGCTCCCCACTTCCCGAGAGTCCGGGACTGGCAGCCAGCAGCAGGCCTTCCCGGTGAGGGGTCGGCTCTGGGGGAGATGCTCCTGGGGAAAGGGAATTAGGGACGGAACCCTGGGCATAGGGGTGCGGTGGGGGGGCTGGGCCCTGCTAGGAACGAGGTGATTTAGGGGACCCCTTCCTCCAGGTGGGCTTCAGCACTCAGCCCGAGCTGCTGCAGGCGCCCTGGGCCTGCACCTCACGGCTGCTGCTCATTTGCCGTCTGTTTCTGCTTGCTGCTGCTGCTTTGGGGTTTTTCCTCCTGGCATCTCCTTTTGGAAGTGTCCGGAGGCACTTAGTTCTAGACGGGGAAGATGGGGTCCCGGTCCTTGGAAACTGTTCCCAGCCGTTCTCCTGCCTCAGCATCGAGGGCCTCAGCACCCTCTCCGGCCCCAGGGCCCTGTGCCAGTGATTCTCAGCTGGTCCCCTGGGAAAGGCAGCAATGTGACCAGCATCGGACCAGCAGGACGCAGTGATGACACCAGTGGTCACTGATCTAGACTCACTCTGAGCCGTGTGCTAAGTGCCCAGGGGGCGTCATCTCATGCCCCTTCAGAGCGGTGCTCCTCTGCTCAGAGACGACGAGACCGAGGTTGCCCAGCTGAACCCACCCCAGGGGGTCTCACTGCAAGCCTCCTGGCTCGCTGGCCACTCTCAGTGCCCCTTGGAAGGCCCCGGCCCCCGGGCTGAAGTCTTTGTCAGCCGTTGCTCTGCAGGAGCAGCAGCGCCTGGCGAAGCCTTGTGAAGCCCCCATCACGTGAGGACCTGCGGTTAACACAGTTCATTGCTATTAGTAGGGGCGTTTCAGCATCACATGGGAAGGGTGTTTTGAACCGGCCTTTGCCCTGACCCCTCTCCCCGTCCCCTGTCCCTCCAGGCCTTCGATGTGGTGGAGAGGAGCTTCCTGGAGTCCATCGATGACGCATTGGCTGAGAAGGCGAGCCTCCAGTCCCAGCTGCCGGAGGTAATCTCCCCACGGCCCAGCATTGCTAGGAGCAAGGACTCAGTTTCTTGTTACTCCCAGGCCATTGGCACAGCTGGGCCAGAGCAGCAGGAGTCAGGGGGACAACAGCTCCTGACTGGGGGACGTGGGAAGCTGTGGGTTGCCCTCCGAGGGCCTCGCTGGCCCACTGTGGGCAGCTTTACTCTGAGGCTCAGTGTGGCGTGGGCCATGAAGGGTATGAGGAAAGGCCATTCCAGGTCTGTCCTCGACCTGAGTCTGTCCACAGCCTCGTCACCTACCTGCGCACGTCACCCACCAGCACTGTCAGAGCCCACAAGACAAGTGAGGTCACCTCCAGCTTTCTGGAAGAGGCCTCTCGTGGGGCTGCCACGCAGCTTCCATCCTGGCCGGGCCCTCCACTCCTTGCTCTGTGAGGGGGGTGCGTTGGCAAGATGGTCTCCAAGGACCCGCCTGCTCTGACCCCTGCTGATGGCTTGTAGGGTGTCCCCCAGCACCAGCTGCCTCCTCAGTATCAGAAGATCCTCGAAAGACTCAAGACGCTGGAGAGGGAGATTTCAGGAGGGGCCATGGCCGTCGTGGCGGTCCTTCTCAACAACAAGCTCTACGTCGCCAATGTTGGTGAGCCGCCTGCCTGTTCACGGCCGGAGGGCTGAGGGCGAGGTCAGCCTCAGGGTCCACGCGTTCTTGGGGCAGTCTGCTTGCCAGACATGGAAGACTTCCAGCCTGAGTCCCCTGAGGCCGCCGGGTGTTTCCCCGTCCCTCCACAGGAGTGTCTCCATCCCAGGGGAGAGTGTGAAGCGAGGGGGAGGCAGGCGTCCAGGCTTCAGTCCCCACTCTGCCCCGACTGGCTTTCGGCCTGGGCGAGTCATGTCCCCCCGGTCTCTTCAGTGGCTTCCTGTTCTGGGAGAGGTTGTCTGTCTGGCTGTGGGAGACGCACTCGGTGCCCCGTGGAGGGCAGCGAGGTGGGCTGGGTGTGGACTGGAGCCTGCGGGCCGGAGGGGTGTTCCGATCTGTGGGCCCCGACAGGGCCGGACCCAGGATGCGCTTACTGTGGGAGCTCTGAAGAGACCCCACTGGTGACGGCCTTCCCTCTCTGCCTCCTTCCCTTAAGATTTCATTATGGAAAATTTTCAAAAATGTATAAAGTCAGAGACAATTGCGTTTAGTGAAGCCGCTGTGCCCATCCCCCGCGTCCACAGTCAGCACCTGGGGGCCAGTCTCTCGGTTCTCCTGCAGCCCTTTGTCCCCACTTGTCAGGAAGCAAACCCAGACATCGTGCCATGTTACCTGTAAATATTTCAGTGTGTCTCCTGAGAGAAAAGGTCTCTTATTAAAATCCTAATCCTAGGATGACACTGGAAAAGTTGAGCCTAATTCCTTACTCTCATCAGCTCTCCCTGAGTGCTGACTCGCCCCCGGGGGCTGGGCCCATTTTCTTGTTCATTTCAAGGATTTCCATGGGTGAGATGCTTTTCTCTGTCCTCTCACGGCCTCCTGTCCTTCCCATGCGCAGTCTTTGCTCAGCCACTCAAATTCTGCTGCAGGTACGAACCGCGCCCTTTTATGCAAATCCACGGTGGACGGGCTGCAGGTGACACAGCTGAACGTGGATCACACCACGGAGAACGAGGATGAGCTCTTCCGCCTCTCGCAGCTGGGTGAGGGGATGTGGACGGGGCTCCGTGCGAGTGGGGAGGCCGACCCGGGCCTCTCCCTGTGCTCCCTGCTGGTGGCTGGTAGTTGACAGGCTGTGACCTTGGGCTTGGTCCTGGCCTGCCTGGGGTTGAATCCCATCTCAGCCGCTTGCTAGTTGGCGACATCTGGGACTCTCTCAAGTTTTCTGTGAGGATGATAGTAACACTGCCTCAGGGTAGGATTAAAAGAGTTAATGTGTGTAAAATGCTTCCAAGCGTACCAGGCACGTGACAGGTGCTCACTGTTAATTGGTGGAGACTGAGAGGCCAGAGAGGTCCCAAGATTCCAGCTGCCACTTGGCCACTCCCTCCCCAGGTAGCCGGCAGCCCAGCCGTGGGAGTAGCAGAGAGGGGGCCGTACTGGGCAGTGCTTGATCCTGTGTGGAGGAGGGGCTCCGAGTGAGGGGTGGTCTGATGGGGCTGGGGACTGGGGGACTTTGGATTAGCCGCTCTCCAGGGCGCCCAGTGTGACTACATTTCCCGTTCAGTGGGTTCTCGTTGCCTTGCTTCCTTGGATATGTCTGTACCCCCTTCTTCTTGTTCCTCTTTGTGAACAAGATCTGGGATTGTCGTGTGCTCCCTCTGCCAGGTCTGGACGCAGGAAAGATCAAGCAAGTAGGGATCATCTGCGGGCAGGAGAGCACCAGGCGCATCGGGGATTACAAGGTCAAGTACGGCTACACCGACATCGACCTGCTCAGGTAGGAGGCCGGCCCTGCTGCTCCCGTTTGTTTGTAAGACCAGAGGGCCTGGGGCAGGAGCAGATTGAGGCTCTAGGGGCAGAACAGGTGCAGCCAAGGTAGAGCCCAAGGGGACTCTTTCTTCCTCCTGAGAGGTTGGTGTGAGGCCCCGAACCCAGCAGGCCAGGAGCTAGGGTCCCGTAGAGCCACGGTGGCAGGCTAGGCTGAGGTCAAGTTGGGGAGCTGGGCCAAAGCCGAGGGCAGCAACGGTGCCACAGGGCCTGGCAGGAGAGGCCAGGGTGGCGTGGGCTGCCTGGCGTGGATGGGGACTGACTGAAGGCCTGTTGGTCAGTGCTGGTGTGGCTGGGGCCAGGGCAGAGGTGCGAGAGGAGTTAGCCCTTCGGGGTGCCCCCTAGTGCTCTTGGCAGCAAATGGGCGATGATACACTTGTGAGCTGTCATTGAGCCAAGCCTGTGCACAGCTCTTCACACATGTCCTCTTACTCAGTCCTCGCTCGGGCCCTCCGAGGTGAGACTGTTACTGTCCCAAATGCGTTTTCACATGAGGAGGCTGAGACATGGAGAGGTGAGGCGGCCTGCCTGGTCCAGGGTTGGCAGTGGCCGAGGCAGGACTCAAACCCCAGGCAGCCTGAGTGCAGCCCGTGTTCTTAGCCAGCGGCTCAGCTGTGTGAGAATGGTGACTGGGAAAAGGCGCGTGCATCTCTGTGTGTGAGATGCCATCTCGGGTCTGAGAAAGCACGTACTAGAACTCCCTTCTCTCACAAGATTGAGGCTCTTGAGTTGGAGCCTGTGTCTAATTGGTGGGGCTCTGTTTGCTGTATTAGGAAGGACGTTTGTGGTTTAAAACAATTCCGACAGCAGCGGGGGTGCACAGTGAAAGTCTGCCTCCTGTCCCGAGCCGGGACGCCTTCTCTGGAGGCCGCTGGTTTCTCGTGTGTCCTGCCCCAAGGTTTCTGTGCGTGTGTGTGTGTGTGTGTGTGTGTGTGTGTGTGTGTGTTGGGGGTGGGGGAGGGGTGGGCATCCTTCCCAAAACAGCCACAGATGCCATTTAGTGTCCCCAGCCTTCTTCCCAGTGCTCTGTGCCTACTGTTTTCCTCATAGGCGCCTGTCCCTCCCTGCCCGCACACCTGCAGTTGGGGCTGGTGGGGTTCTTGGGAACAGCTAATGGGATTCCCCTGGTGGCAGAGTCAGCACTCACCTAACCGGCCCTACCGATGGACCCTCAGGATGTTTCCAGACTTCTCTCTTCCCGATACTGGTGCCAGGAGCATCCTCTTTTGCTGGCCTCCGTGTGCCCGTGCACATGTTGGAGCTCTGACCGTACTGGCTGTGACAGGGCCTCAGGAACCATCCTTGTGCAGACAGGGCGGGTATGGGGGTCTGAGTCAGCTTGGACACTGGTTTTGGAGGAGCCCAGGAGGATGGGCTTTTAAAAGAGAACCCCTCCCTCCTGCCGGACCACCCTTCCCAGGCTCTGTGGACAGGAGATGCAGAAGTGGGCCAGGATGGGACATTTGACCTTTGCCCTCCTGACCCCGGCTGCCTCTTCGCTTTTCTGGCCCTCTGACCTTTGTTTTAGTGGCTGCCCTCAGAAGACAGGTGTGATTTTCTGGTTTTCTCTTCTGTCTGATGCTTTTCCTCTTGTCAGATGTGTGTTTTATTTTACATTCTGGGTGTAGATTTTTCTCCTCAGCGGAACGCATGTCCCCAGGGGCCGTTCCAAGCACAGCTCTCCCGTCCGCGCTCTTCCCACAGCTCTGCCAAGTCCAAGCCGATCATCGCGGAACCTGAAATCCACGGTGCGCAGCCCCTGGACGGGGTGACTGGCTTCCTGGTGCTGATGTCCGAGGGGCTGTACAAGGCCCTGGAGGCAGCCCACGGGCCTGGACAGGCCAACCAGGTGAGCTGCGCCGGGCAGAGCACAGCTGAGCAGCCTGCAGGGTGGCGTGCTCCCCTGGGACCAAGCTTGCCCTCCTGCCCAGCTCCAAAGTGCTCAGCGCCCCTGAGGGCTCTGACTCTCAAATGCTGTCTGGGTTCAAAGCTGGGGGAAGAGAAAGCCCAGCACACCAAGGACACCTGCCGCCCGAAGGCCGTGCTCTCCCTGCCTTGAGGCTGTCTCAGTCCCTGGGCCCTGAGCAGGGCCGAATGGGAGAGAGAGAGATGGCGGTGAATTTCCGCGGCACGCCTTGCTCTGGAGACTGTCGGGAAGGGCCCTGGCCCAAGGAGGGGCGCCCAAAGGGGTGTGGCCTGGTACACAGAACACAGGCCATCGAATCCTCCGCACATCCAAGTCCCGCTCCACCACTTCCTTCGCATCCCTGAGCTGCAGATAATTGAGTTCCTTCCTCATCTCTCGGAAGGGTGATCACATCTGCCTCTGGGACTGTGGGGCGGGCCAGGTGTGAAACACGCAGGGCCTTGGTGTCCCCCATCAAACACGGGCAGTGAGCAAGGCTTCGGGGCCGTGCTACAGGGGTGATCTTGGAGGGAGGCTGCCCGGACCAGACCTTGGACCGCTGGGGCGGTCGGATGAGTTTGGGTGTGTTCCCTGTGATTCTCATGGGAGGGTAACCTTTCCTGCTTTGTCCTTTCTGATGCAGAATTAGGAGGAAAGGGCCCTGTGTGCCTGGTCCTGTCCGCTGCCTGTGGTCGAGGTGCTCCACCGGGTTTGCCTTATGGTTCCTTCCAGGAGCCTCGTAACAGAGCAGGCGGGGCTCACGGCCACATCAGGTTAGGGGGCTTGGGTCACAGAGTTCAGGGTCTTGCTGAGGTGACATGCTAGTCAGTGATGGAGCTGAGCCCACCCCGGCCGGGCCCAGGTCATGTCCTGTTACCTGCTCCTGCCACCATGAACTGGTGGCCAGCAGTCACGGAGAGGATTCTGTTTGTGTTTTTGATCTTATCGTCACTGTGACTTTATTCTCTTTTCTTTGGTCTTCACGATAGAATTATCCAGTGGCTTCTAGTGGCTTCTAGAGTATATCGGCCAGTGGACTTCTCTGAGGGCAGGGACCCTGTCTTCATTCTGTATCCCCAATTTCTGACAAAATTGGCTTATCACAGAATACAATGAGTTTGTTCCAAGAAAGGAAGCTTAATGACAACTATGGTTTATGCAGGGCTTTTAGCCAGCTCGAGACTGCCCTCACGAACCTGCCCTCAGGAACCTGCTCTCACGTGCGTTGTTACTTAATCTCCATAATAACAGTGAGGTGGATCTTATCCCCCATTGTATTGGTATGGGAGCCAACAATCAGATCACAAGGTCACTCCTTTTCTAATGAGAAAGTTCCAGAAGGATTATCCTGAACACCTTGAAAAGCTCGGATTACAGGTTGACTGGTGGGGCTTCCTTCACCTGCTTGGCTGGTGGCCCCAAGTGTCCTGTGTGGGCGCTGCAGTTGGGGCCCGCAGTCCTGGGCCCCTTGTCCCTCATCAGGCTTTGTGCCCTGCCCCAGGAGATCGCTGCCATGATTGACACTGAGTTCGCCAAGCAGACTTCCCTGGACTCGGTGGCCCAGGCCGTGGTGGACCGGGTGAAGCGTATCCACGGTGACACCTTTGCCAGCGGCGGGGAGCGGGCCAAGTTCTGCCCGAGGCATGAGGACATGACCCTGTTGGTGAGGAACTTTGGCTACCCACTGGGCGAGCTGAGCCAGCCCACGCCGACCCCAGCCCCAGGTACGTGTGCTGTGCCGACAGTCTGCCGCCTGGGGACGCCTTCCTGGGCTGGGGTGGGCGCAGAGCGGCTGAGGCGATGGCCTTGCTGCCTGGGATGGAGGGGGAGGGGGAGGCCTGGCTTTGAGTATTCTGACCTGGGCTCTCTGAGCTCCGTTTGTCGTCTCCTTTTGTCTGTGAAGTGAGGGTACCACCACCTGCCCTGGCACCTCCCAGGGGCCTGAGTGCAGGGTGCCTGCAGGCTGTGGGCTGCGTCATGGGGACGGTGGCTGAGTGCCAGCACTATACCCATACATTTCCCTTGTCCTCATTAACAACCCAAAGCCAGGTGGCACCCTGCTTTTACAGAAAGGGAAACTAAGGCTCTAGAAGGAAGAGACCTGGGTGAGATGGTTCATGTGGACAGAAGGTCCCCTGAAGCCTGGCTCTGTCCCCCAACCTTGTCAAGTATAAGGGGGAGATGGCCACTTTCTGCCTTTTTTTTTTTTTTTTTTTGAGGAAGATTAGCCCTGAGCTAAATCTGCCACCAATCTTCCTCTTTTTGCTGAGGAAGACTGGCCCTGAGCTAACATCCATGCCCATCTTCCTCTACTTTATATGTGGGATGCCTGCCACAGCATGGCTTGCCAAGTGGTGCCATGTCCACACCCGGGATCCGAACCGGCAAACCCCGGGCCGCCAAACCGAACTTAACCTCTGCACCACCAGACCAGCCCCAACTTTCTGCCTTTTTAATTCTGAAGTCAAGTTGCTCAGGAGGAGAGGCAGTCGCTCTTTTTTGTGCTGAGAGCTGCTTGGTATTGAGACCCTCCGATCCTGGGCCTGCGTGTCTTGGTCTTTTTTCAGACAAGCAGGCCTTAGTGCTCCAGCCTCCACAGATGGGCCTGTTCTCCCATGGACACCAGGGTCACTGGAGTTTCTCTAGCCCGTTGTTATTGCAGCTGTTTTTGTTGGGCTGGCCTCCACTGGGAGCACACTTGTCTCCTTGGGTTAGAGCTTCGCGGGAAGCCAGGTGGGGAGCCTTCGTGAGGCAGCACAGCACCTGACGCTGCTGCTCAGAGCGCCACCTGTGCTTTGCTGCGAGAGGAGGCCCTGCCTGGCCTGGGAGAGTCTCTGCTTCGGGCACTCCTGAGCTGTCCCCAGGGAGCCCGGCCACCCTCCCCGCCTGTCCTCTCTGCCCCTCAGACGCCGCGCCCAAGGGCCCTGGAGCAGCCTGTTCCCGCCACCCCGGGGTTCCCCCGCAGCCGCTCCCTCTGGCCCACCACTCTCTTCCCCTCAAAGCCGCAGGAGGACGCGTGTACCCTGTGTCCGTGCCTTACTCCAGCGCCCAGAGCACCAGCAAGACCAGCGTGACCCTGTCCCTCGTCATGCCCTCCCAGGGCCAGCTGGTCAACGGGGCCCACAGCGCTTCCACCCTGGACGAAGCCACTCCCACCCTCACCAAGTAAGCCCTCCGCCAGCCCCAGCCCCGCTCAGGCCATGTGCTGGACGGCGCCCCCGGGTCTCACCTCTCAGATTGCCCCCTCCACTCCTGGGGAGGCCCCCAGACGCTGGGGCAGGAAGAGGCGGCATTGCAGGTCCCAGCGGCTCCCTGCAGCTGGACTGGGAGGGCCGGAGGTGCGGGCCAGGGAGGGCGAGCAGGCCAGGAGGGTCAGGCGGCTCAGGTTGGCAGCCCTCGGGCCGTATTTTCTTGCAAGTCCTGTGTGTTAGTTTCCATTTAACAGGAAGGTTCCCCTCCTGTTCTTTTGTCTTTTCTCATCTGGGCATGTGTGACGTCGAGTGGCCTTCCCATGCCATCTGTGCTCGAGGGACATTGTTTGGCCTGTACCGGCTTGTCAGAGCTAGTGCTCTGACTAAAATGTCAGATTTTAGCTTTGAAGTGAATTCTCTAGTTTAAGGCAGGGGGAGGAGTGGAGGCAGCAGGGGTTCTGGAGCCTGGGGCTGGGGCGAGCAGGCCCCCTCCCCACGGCAGACCTGCCTGACAGGTCTGCTGTCCAGCCCCCTTCCCTTCTGTGGAATGTACACCCCCACCCCCACCCCCCCACACCACGGGGCCAGGATCTGGTTTCCACATTCCAGCTCTGCACAGAATAATAGGGATGCCACACCCAGCCCACTCAGAGGATGTGGCCAATCAGAAAGGGCACGGAGGGGGGCAGTTGTGCTGTTTCCCTCTGCCTCGCTGGGGCCCTTCTCTTCTCCCTGCCCCCATGCTGCTCCTGCTGCTCCTGCAGCACCACCGAGGCCTGGAGGGGCCTGCCGGGCAGCCGAATGACGGGCATCCTGAGCGAGCGCAGTAGGGGTGGCCTCCCTCCCCTGCGGGCTGCCCAGAGGAAGCCACCAGCTGTGTCCACAAAGTGTGATAGCTGAGGTCCCAGACCAGGCAGGAGAACCAGCCATCCTCTGTGTGTCCAACTCCCCGGGACCCCAGACAGCCCCTTCCCTCTGGCCTGCATCTGGGCGTCAGCGGCGCCCCGCCAGCTGGCCCGGTGCTGGGGGTCTGCAGGACGGCGGGCTACCGGGGAGTTCCTGGCTGGTACGTGCTCTGACGGAGGGTGGGTTCTCAGGGAGCTCTGAGGACTCAAGCTGGTGAGAGAGACGTGGCCAGGAGGGCGTAGGAGGAGGGGCTGCTGGGAGAAGATCCCTCGCCCCCCCTCAGTCGCTGAGGTTTGAATTAGGCTAGACGGGACAGCTGGGAGTAGATGGCCCCAGCGCAGCCCTGCTCCGGGGATGGACGTGCTCTGTGTCGTCCGCAGGAGCCCCCAGCCGTGCGTGGTTGTGGAGCACTGGAACTGAGGGGTCCATTTTATTCGGTTCTACTTCAGTTAAATACCTGCATTTAACTATGGCTTAAAAAATACGTGTGACTTTTCGTCTGCCCCTGGGAACATCTGCTCGGGCTGGCTCTTGTAGTCGCCTTTGTCAGAGAGGCCTGTGGCCCGAGGAGCTGGCCGAGGTAGGGGCCTCTCTGTCCCCAGGCTGGAAGCCAAGGCCCCTGACTGACTCTCCCTGTCATCCCCGCAGCCAGAGCCCGACCCTGACCCTGCAGTCCACCAGCACGCACACCCAGAGCAGCAGCTCCAGCTCGGACGGGGGCCTCTTCCGCTCGCGGCCTGCCCACTCGCTCCCGCCCGGCGAGGACGGCCGCGTCGAGCCCTACGTGGACTTTGCTGAGTTTTACCGCCTCTGGAGTGTGGACCATGGCGAGCAGAGTGTGATGACGGCACCGTAGCCCCAGCCCGGATTCAGCCTGAGCAGGACCTCGCATGGGGATGAGGGGCCAGCTCTGGGGCAGGAGGGGCCGTTTCCTGCCGTGTGCCTGCGCCGAGGGGCCGCTGGGAGCCCAGTCCTCAGCCGGCACTGTGCTCTCACCCCACAGCTCTCAGAGGCGCCAGCGCAGACTGGAGCCCTGGGATGTACCTTGTCACGCACAGAGGGCTGCAGGCCACTCCCTCAGACATCCTCAGCCGGGACCATCGCCATTTCTCAGAGCAAGGGACACGGGTGCAGAAGCCGTGCTGGCTGCACCTGCCGAGTGGTGGGGTGAAGAGGCTCCTGCCACCCCACACACCCCAGGCCCGGCAGCCGCTGCTCTCAGGGCCACCCCTGTCCTTCCACCACCTCCCTTGGAAGAGCCTGCAGCCACTGCCAGCACCCCGTTCACCACTGGGTGTGTCCCCCCTTTCTTGTCCAGCCTCCGGAGCAGAACCCCAGCTGGCGTCTGTGCCTTTGATGCCAGCTCCATCGCCGGCCCCGGCCTGGGCCTGCCCAGGTCGTTTTCAGTGGCAGACGTTCGGGAAGACCAGGGAAGTGTCGGGCCTGGGATGGCTGCAGAGGGGCAGCTCAGGTGGAAGGGACCAGAGGAACCTGGTCCCGGAGAACCACTGGACCTAGAGTCCCCCGCAGGCTGGGCTGGGCCAGGCTGGGATCCCCAGAGCCGGGGTGCAGGAGAGGGGGCTGTGCCTGCACGGAGCGGGCCACGGGCCAGGAGCGAGGACTCTGAGTTGGGGTGAGCCTTGCTTTCCCTCCTGGTGCTGGGGTGGCCACAGGCTGGGGAGTCACTGAGATGAAGGACCTTTCCCAGCGAGGCTGAGTCTTTGCGACCTCCAAGGTGACAGACAGGTTGTGAGTCAGGCTGGAGGCTCCTGTGAAAGATGGAAGAGAGGGAGGTGCTCCCGAAAGGAAACAGGGTCTCCAAGACCAGCTCTCTGGATAGTCGAGGGCTTTAGTGATGTACACTTTTTACAGACACTGAGGGGCTGGGGCAGGCTGGCCCAGGCCCCGAGTGAGACCATTTCACATGTGCACCCTGCCTGAGTGGGCCGGGGCTGTCGGCCAGATTGCTGCTCCTGATCCCAGAGGACAGAGCAGGAGGCTCACGGTGTACCCACGGCACGGGGCAGTGTGGAGCACAGCTCAATCCATGCCCTCGCGTCAGTGTCCGAGGCCCCCGGATTCCGCCGCCCCTCCCCAGCCCCCATCCTCCTGCCCACAGGGCCAGCCACGGCTCACCAGGGACTAGCCGCTGTGTGGCCTCCTGTACACTGGGACTCTGAGAAGTCAAAGGCTGGTTCCCAGGGCCCAGGGCTGGTGTCCGAGGGAGGCCGCGGCACGAGCCGAGGACAGTGCGTCTCAGCAGGGCTCCTCTCCCTCCACCAGGAGCCCTCTCTGTTCTACGGGTGAGCGGATTGAAATCAGTATCTGAGGCTTGGGAGCAGGGGGAGTTCTCCAGGAATGTCTCCAGGATGCCGTTTGGTCTCTAGAAATAGAATGACTTTTTTACCGCAGTGAAGACGTAATAAATGGTGGCGTTACACGTCTGGGGTCAGTGGTGCTGCCTCACTTCTCAGTCCCTCGGGAGGCAGACCTGAGGTCGGCCCTGCCTGTGCTGCTCGGCTGGGGTGTGGACCTGGCCTCCTGACCAGCCAGCAGTGCCGCCTCCGTGGCCCACAGGGGAGCGCGGGCAGCAAGCGTCCCTCCAGGTCCCCACACATCCAGAGAGGGTGACAGTTCTCCCGCCGCAGGCCGGGTCCTCTCGCCCCTCCTGACCTCCAGCCGCGTTCTTGGTGCGTGAGGAGTGCAGTGGCCGTCAGAGCCTCGGGTGCCCGGGACAGTCCCCCTCCCACCTGCAGTGGACGTTCTTTGTCTTGGCTTTGTTTGGGTGGAGGATGTTCTATAAATACCAGTCCATGGAGCGCCTCTTCCGGCCGCCTGGGCTTAGAGCTAAAACTAAACCGTGGAGTCTGCTCAGGAGCCAAGCCGCCTTCCGTGTTTAGCTGCTGGGGAGGGGCTCGAGGCAGAGGGTCTCCCTGCAAATTGCCTTCCAGACTCTGCCCCCTGCACTTGGACCGTCCTGGAGTCACGGCATCAGCCAGCACCCCGCCAGGGGCGTGGGTGGGTGCATCATCTCTCAGATGAGTAACTGAGGCACAGACGGGTGGGGCATCATCCTGTCACAAATGGCCCCGTCCAACCCCTGGTCCCTGGGCCTCTCCCAGCACCAACTTTGCCCTGGGTGCGAGGGGGCAGGATGTTGCCCTGTTGGCTCTGTGTCCCCTGTCCCCTGGCTGCGTGTCATTCAGCTCCCTTTGAGCCTGTCTCCTAGGGGCGAGAGGGGCCCCTTTAGAGCCTCTAGGTTCCCTTTGGTGGAGGAGGGTATGTGGAGCAGGGAGGGGAGCCTGGGCTCTGTTGAGGATTTAAGGAGTGGCGAGGGTCAGGACCAGGAAAGAACCAAGGCTGCCAGGCCAAGTTTGCAGCCCTGGGCCACCACCGCTCCAGAACGCACAGGGCAGACGGCCACCTGCCGGCACCGCCATTGGAGCCCTCCAGCCTCGACACTTGCCCTGGCCCCTGGAGAGCCCTCGGCAACCTGAGGCCCGGCCAGACGGAAGCCCACCCACCCCCTGCCCCTGCGCCACTCGTCCCTCCCCGGGATGTGGCCCCTCACAGGACGGGACTTGGTCCAAGCCTGACTGAGGCCCTGGCTGGGAGCAGACCAGATGGGGCCGGGCCTTTGCAAGCCCAGGGCCAGGGCAGGTGGTGGGGAGGGGCCTTGGGCAGCACCCGGAGCTCTGGGAACGCCCTTGGGCCATCTTCATGGTTGTTCCGCTGCATCCAGCCCTGCCTGCTCCTCTCTCATTCTCAGAACCGGCCTTTCGGCCAAGCTACAGAGTGGGCTCCGGGATGCACTTGCTGGCGGGGTCCCCAGTGCTGGTGGCAGTGGCAGTGAGACCCGTCAGGAGAACCTGGGGCCGCTGTATAACGACATAGGAAAAGCACCTTGTGGCGCACCTTCCTGTCCCACAGGCCTCGGCACGCGTGCTGCCCCGGCCCAGGCCTCCCTGCGCCCCGGAACACGCCTGCCCGTCTCCTGCTTAGTCTGCTGCTCAGAAACTCTCCGCCTGACGGAGAGTTGCACATTTGTCTGTCTGTCTCCCTCGCCCACTGAGATGTCCACTCCACGGGAGCAGGGATGTTGTCTAACTGGCCCCAAGGTCAGTGACAGCCACGCAGTAGCCCCTAAGGCATATGTTGAGTGAATGAATGAGTGAATTAGCTGTGTGACCTTGGGCAATTTACTTGACCATGCTAAGCCTCAGTTTCTTCATCTGTAAAATGAGGGCACGACCAACTCACTTCTTAATAAGATTGTCTGAGCCACCATGGCTGTGAGAGGTAAGAATTGCCCTGCTTTACAGGTCGGGAAACGGACTGGGGCATGTCACCAGAGTGTTAGCCAGATTCCCACCCCCACCGCTCCCACACACGCATGTGTGCACGCACGCACACGCATATATACACACACAAGCACGAACTGTAAAGTCACGCACGGTAATGAAGGCTCTGCCTGGGGCCTCGCACAGCAGGTGCCACCCACGGCTTCCCCTGGGACACGGGTGTGGTTCTTGCTTCTCCCGGCTGCAGCCCAGAGAGAGGCCATCAGCCTGGCTCCAGAACCCTTCCAACAAGGACATCTTTCATGCTGCTTCCTTCTGGGTCCCCTGTTTTGAAACCAAACAAGGACACAGACCACTGCCAGTCCCGCTGGCATGAGCACGCGCTTTGTCCCCACGCGGAGGTGATGTCAGCTCAGAACAAAGACAGGCTCTTGACCTTCCCACGAGCCTGGGCAGCCTAGCCTCCTCGAGGACAGGCGCAGCGTCTGGCTGCCAGCTTTGCGGAATATGGACACAGGTCACGGACTCCGTTCCTGCCTCTGAGACCCCCAGAAGGGTCCAGGGACCCAGGCTGTGTCTGGTCCAGCCCCTTCTTGTCCTCGTTCTCCCGGGTGACAGCATGGGCCGGGACAGGGACAGGGTGGGTCTCAGAGCCCCCCCACTGCCTGGAAGCCGGAGCCCCGTGGCTGCCTCCACACGCTCCGTGATCAAGCTCCCATGCTTGTCCCTTCAGCAGAGCCATCTGTGGTCCTGTGTGCTGAGCCCAAGAACCTCCCAGGGCTCCAGCCGCCTCCTGACCCTGCTGTGTGGAGGCTTCTTGTCTGCTCCTCCCCACCCCACCCCGGCCTGCCCCTGCGACCCTCTCCTCCAGTCATCTCAGTGGCCCAGGGCCAGCCCCCGGGCAGCATCTAAGAAATGTCGGGAACATGAGTGGACGGAAGGATGAATTGCCCAGAGAAGAGCTTCTGGAACTTTTCTACAGGAAATATCTTTACTCTACAGAAAACTACCCCCACCCCAGTACCCCCAGAGTTTTGGGGTTTGTAAGAAATTCAATGTCTCATAGTTTATTTTGAATATCTGGGTGAATTCTGCAGTCAAATCCATAATATCCTGTGTTCGTTTTAGTACAGAAGTAACTTTTTATTTTTCAAAAATAACATTGAAAATTACACATTACCAAGTAAATTGATGCTTCAGGTAGCACACCAGGTCAGTCCCGGAGGTCTACAGACCTCGGCGCATCACAGGGACCCCGCAGGTCCCACACTGAGTGCCAGGCGGGGTCCTGCGCTCAGCCCCACTTTAGAGATGGGGGGGGGTAAAGCATGGACAGGTTAA